GAGATAGAAGGGAGTATGTTGGGGATGGAGCACCAAATTGCCCACTCCTACTAAACATGCAAGTGCCAAAGTGTCCAAAATAGTCCCCTCTGCCGGTCCCCAGTCCCATCGCCTGCCATTTCACACCGCCGTGCTGTGGGTGGTGACCGTAGCATCATTCGCACATGACAGTCGGCTGCCTGGCTGGTCAGAGGCGGGGCTGCCTCTACCGGGCAGGATGAAAAGACGGCAGCAACACAAAGAGAGAAAAAAGTTTGCATTTTAGCAGAGAGCTGCCTTCTGTTTAAAATAGACCAACCAAAACTATTGATCGTACTGCATCAGCATTGGTCTGTGCGAGGGCAGTGGGTTCAAAGTGAACAGAGTAACAGTGATGGCTTCTAATAATGTGGCTCAAGAAATGTCCAGATTTTGCAGGAGTGGAGTTATGCAAAAGCTCTGGAGTCGATTCAAGTAGCTGAGGGCAGATCAATAATTAACAGACAGCTCTCCGGTTAGACTGAGGCAGAAGCTAAACAAAATTACAATACCCCCCCCCCCTACATTTCACACCATTGCTCTCAGACAACATAGTGTTTTTACGTGCATTTCCACAATACTTCATACACAGCTGTACAGTAAATCACACACACACACACACACACACACACACACACACACACACACACAGAAAATGAAGGTGCATTTTGTGGAATGCGTGTAGTATTTTTCACTTCCTGCCTCTTCAGGAGTGATAAGAGTAAACATTCCTGTTCGACGAGGGAACAAAGTCCTACTCATATATTACAGGATGAGAAATCATCACTTGTTTTACAGACGCCAGCAACTGTGTCGGTAAAAACAAGAGGAAACATATGAGACGACAGTCACATAAACTCACTGGTCGTGGCCGATCAGCTTACAATTAGCCGGTTTCAACCGGTGGCCGATCAATCGGTGCATCTCTATAGCTCTGAAATGTTCCCACACGGATTTCATTCATTTGTAAAAACTAAACCAGTCATCTTTAGCTTCGTTGTCGTCGACGGTTTTCTATTCCCGTGCATTCTTTGCCTCAGTAATAGTGTGAACATTTGTTCAATGTTTTTATGGAAAATGTGGTCATGTTGTTCCCAATAGTATGCAAAGGTGCACTCTCAACACTTGTGGTCTATTCATCGAGGACTTCAGAAAAGTTCATGATGCCTTTCTCTCCACTAGCTTTGGGCGAGAAAATCCAGTACTGATGTGCAAAATTATCTAACTTCTAAGTTTTCAAAGCCTTTGTCCATTGTGAACACTGAAAGCTTTGCTTATCAGTATGTAACTTGGTCCACAGCCACAACACATAACATCTCATGGGTCACAGCCTCTAATAACCTGGTGCCTGGGCCTTGGGTCTGATGACATGAGACAGAGCTGCACGTAGGCCTAAGAGTGTGACTGCCTGCAGGATAAACAGTCATTAATGTGAAGGAACTGTCCGCACTGCAAGTAGTGGGCGTTAACATATTTGTACACAAAAGTGTACTACGACAATGACAACGTTATAGTACTCTATCATGCTCTGTAAAAAAAAACAAAAAAACGACCTTACATTTGAACTTAACACACAATTTGTCTGCATTAAAGATCGTTTGCAGGGACTGAAATAAATGATTAGCTTTGTAATAGCATGCTTTGCTGATATAATCCCGAGCTGCACATAGACGGATTGACCCGCCAGGAAGGGGGAGAAATAGGGGAGGAGAAGCGAAAAGGAGCAAGGGGGAAGGAACGCAGCAGGTTGGGAAGTTCAGGAATCTCAGGATATGATGTAGTGTTTGCCCAGGCCTGGAGGGAAGGAGCAGGCGTCGCTCAAGTCTCGACAGGGAGAGAGGAAAGAAAAGAGTTCTAGGAAAGATATGATCTAAGTCAGAACAAGATGACATTGGCATTACCACTGTCGACACAATTAAACTGTTGAGTACCATATGACTGGTCTATTGAGTGTAAAATCTAGCCTGTATGCTAGATGATGCCACAAAACTGGACATCAATTCTGGAAAAATGAGTGCCAAGGAATAAGTAGAAATATGACACCCCATCTGGCTGCTATTGTGCTATTGTTCCCTCTTCAACCTCAGGTGTTTGTTTTGAACAGCAGCTTTTAAGTTCAGAGGCTCCTTTCGTGACAGCTATTAAACCAGATGCATGTGTTGCTTTGCAAACATTCAATACCCATCTAACAAATTCTCCCCTCCGCTCTTAACAGTAACTCACAGTGTGCATGGATAGAGCTCCAGGCTCTGAGCTCAGACTTCACTGTTGTGTTTATGACAGATGACATAAGACCGGGACCCACAGAACCTGACACTAGATCTGCAGATAAAAGGGTCTGGATGGATCATGGTGCTATTGTGGCACAGTGCTTCCCAGTAACGTGAACGTGGTTCTTCTAACGATAACATTGTTGTTGCCATAACTTTCCACAGTTGTAAAATCCTGCTAATCATAAACTGCAGTCTGTTGAGCTTTGAAAGCATCCATCCCCTACAGGAATATGTTGTCATTTAATTACACCTAGAGAGCTGTTTGTTTAAATCCAAGATTTGCTGTCAATGAACACAACCAAAGATCGATTTGAATGGAAGCAATCAAACACAATTCACGGACAACGATGAGAATGAAGACAAAGCACGCATGTATGAAAGGTTTCAAAACATAAACGTAAACAAAATGACTTCAATCTGATCTCAATATGACCGTACTTAGACGGAGCTAGATCGATGGACTGATACACACAGGAATAAACACACGGCAGTGAAGTGATGGTCTACCCACCAGAGCTACTACAGGGAGCTTTTACTAGAATAGAGCATGTGCTAATGAAGGTGATGCAAATGTAAGGTGATTGAAAAGTAAAAATAATGATTATATAAATGTATATATATATATACACATTTATGAACTACAAATGCAGATTGTGCATAAGGTTAGCATAGCCAGTAACGTACAATACTTTGACTGTAATCAACTAATCCTACACAATGTTGAGAGTTTGAGTTTTTGAAATTCAAATGATTGTATTTGTGACTTCAAATTGTTCTCATAAATGTAGCACAGTATTATCATATCTCTGCCTACATTACCGACAGAACACACTGTATTATGTGATTAACTTCTGCCTGCCTTTATATCAACCGCACAATCAGTTCGACCTTTGAAACTTAGATAAACTACGTGATAAATAATCTGAGCCACAGATCATTGGTCATCTCGATACGTGACCGTTTGTTCAATAAGATCCCAGAAATCTTGGTTACCTGGGTTGTACTGTGCCCCCCCCCCCCCCCGTGGAGTTTAACTGATAATATTTCAGGTCTAATTTACTGTCAGACTGGCTACCTGGCATGTGCGCTGTAAACTGATGCGGAAACATTTGGAAAAGCAACAGCGTCATGTAACAAGCAGCGAGGTTCATGGATGCAACAAGGTACGTTATTTTGAGTAGGAAGAATATAAATTAGAGTAACATGCAGTGAGCACAAATGGGGGGACGGGGGACGTAAGTGTCTTTCTGATTGTCCGTCTGATAAATTGTAGGAGAGTTGATAAAACAATTCATATTCAGCTCAACGTGAGGCAGTTTTGCTTCCTTCTTTCTACTCCCCCTCCCGGATATCTCGCATCACTGACCCTTGTGCTTTGGCATGGCCTACATTTTTGGCTTTATACACCACAAAAAAAAACAAAAAATAGTACCGTCACTGGCTTACCCTCAAAACCGCACAAGTCACAAATACTCTGTAAGGTTGAAAGTATATAGCCTAGTCCAAAAACAACAGATTTGGAATCCTTTCTGATTGCAATCAGCTGTTTAACTACGTTGACAGCCGTCACAGCACTGCCAGCGAACACCAGTTATCACACTATGACTGCAGCTCAGTTTATGAGATGATGCCCGACTCCACGCCAGATGAAGGAGCGTGTGAGTCATCGTCCATGATGTGCCAGTTGATTAAAAAAAACAAAGAATTAAACATGAAATGACTAAAGCAGTATAACTCTGCATGAGAGGAACTAGACTGAAAAAACTAAGGAAAGTAGAAAAAAAACAAAGCTATTATCTATTATATTTGTGCTGCTGTGATGCTAAATTATTAAAAGTTTAAACTTAAACTGTTAAATGGAAGAGGGTGTAAAAGATGAAAAAGTAACTTTTCATTTTGTTTGCAATTTCTTAGGATTGGGTTCGTTATGTCAACACACAGGAAAAAAAGGCAGTGCCATATCCTGCATGAGCTTCCTTTTGACATGTTCTCACTGAACAAACAGGATCCAACAGAAGAAAATGGCACACCTCAAGGAGTGGTGGGATTCACTCACAGTATGGCACACAGCAGAGGCCTGGGCCCATATTTAGATATATAGAGATATATATATATTTAGATATATAGAGATACATATATTTAGATATATATTTAGAGAGAGATATAGAGATATAGAGAGAGATATAGAGATATAGAGATATATATATATATATATAGAGAGA